AGACCACCTTCCTAGGCCACAGCCCGTCACCATCCCCATCTCTGAGAGAAGACCGAGTAGCCTAAGAGAAGAAGCAGCCATATCCGTCCTGCAGAAACCTCCTGATCTCCTGCAGCATTCAGGTGTCTGGTGAAACAGCTGAATCACTGCTGAAGTCTGGTAAGAATGATAACCCAGAGCCGTTTCTTTCCCTGGGCTCTGTTTGCCCTGTGGCACCAGATGTAAAAGAAAACATTATACGTGGCACCACCTAGAGGCAGGAGGCGAGAAGGATGATAAAAAGGAAAAGAAAGAAGCCCTGCTTTCCTCCCCTTTTTGCCTTTATTTTTATTGTTGATGCTACTGCAGATGCTCCTGTTTGTCCCCCTCTGCCTCCCTCCACCCAGCCCTGCCCCCTTCCCTCTGTCCATCACCACCCTGTTGACGTGTCCACGGTGTGTTCTCTGGCTGTCCTGCCACCTCAGACGTTTCTTGGCAGTCATCACCCACACTCGCCCTCCCAGCCCTCGCTCGTGGATTTCTGCCACCACCCCAGAGCACTAGAAAGTCATGCTCCAGAGATGGTTGGGTACAGTAAAAGCGAATAACATTTCTGATCTGCTTCTCAATGTCTCTGAACTTGGAGACATATTTAAACGTTGTTATTTGACAAAATCCTTGAATGGACCCCATCTCCTCTCACCTCCCTCCACCCCCTGCCTCCCCACCCCCCCACGCAAGCATCAAGGGCCTGCCACTTTAAAAGTCTGTATGTGCCTGCTCAAAGGTATAGATCAATATCATTTTTCAAGAAAAACTGAACCAGGGACCCCCTACCCCATGACCTCGTCCCGCCTGGCTGGAGAGGTGGCTGCGAGGATCCGATACAACGCTGGACACAGACTCTCCGGCTCTGGGTTCCAGCTCACACGCGGGTCCTGGGAGGCCAGACCGCTGCTTCGGAGTTACTGCAAGCAGCCGCAATGAGCACAGTCTCCTTTCAGAGACTCACGGGACCAAGAGCCCTTTTAGAAATCATTTACACAGAAAATCATTATCGACGTTTCTAAACTCTTAAAAAGCAAATGGACAGTGGCGTCCCAGCCATCCGAGTGGCCCTGGTCCACGCGCAGAGACGATGCCTCGCTGGTGGTCTGGCGGCAGAGGTTCCGGGACGCGGGCTCTGGGACAGCCTCTGCATAATCTCCCTGTGGCTCAGGGTCCTCACCCGGAGAGAACAGCAACCCCTTCCTCATGGGGCTTCTGACAATTAAATGACTTAATATGACGTAAGGTGCAGCCCAGAGGACGCTCACTTGAGGGCACATCACAACAAAGTGTTTTCATGAAGCTTCCAAGTCTTTCTAAAACATATCTCTGTCCCTCTTATTACCAAAAACAAGTTACTTAGATAAAATAATTATTTAGGGTATTCCACTAACCCAGAACAGAAATACACTCAAAGGCTCCCAAACTGAGCCTCTTCTCAAAACTCTAAGAAGGGGGGGTTCTCTAGATTCACGAAGCAAAAACTGAATGACTCACCCCAGATAGAAATGTATTCTAGTCCATTAGCAGATAATTCATAAAGCTGGAAATATAACTAGTAAATAGAAGTATTAAGAGAACACTCAGTTTCTTTAGATGATAAATAAAAATTAAAACACATAACTGTTTTCGACTATTAAGTGAACCATAAAAACATCGTTTAAGATACTGCCGAGTGCTGCTGAGACAGAACTGAGACCAGGACGGTCACACGCTGCCGCCAGTCCTCGGCAGCCCAGTGGGCGGGGACAGGAGCCAGGAGAGCGTCCGTCCTTCGACACAGTCATTTCACTTCTGAGGTTCCAGATTAAGAACATTTCTCAAAACGGGCAAAGTCCTGTCCACCCTCACGTTCAGAACAGTGAACACCATTTTTAATAGTGACAAACATAAATGCTGAATAATGAGTAAATACACTAGTCGGCCCTCGTTGATCGCAGTTCTTCGGGTCCGGGCTCTACCGCGATACATGAATTTCCCTAAGTAGGATTCTTTATTTATACACAGCCGTCCCTCGTCACTTTGCACTTCGACGTTAGCAGCTTCACTCTATTGCGGTTTTTTTTGTGAAGCCATGAAAGTCGAAGTGCGAAGTGGCGAGGGACGACTGTATATTATACCAAGTGAAAGGTCTATATATCTAAGCACTGAAAATGATAAAGAGCCCTGGCTGGTTTGACTCAGCGTTGAGCGCATTGGCCAGAGGACCTAAGTGTTGCAGGTTAGATTCCCAGTCAAGGGCACGTGCCTGGGTTGCAGGTTCCATCCCCCACCCCATGCCCCACTCCTGGGGGAGGCAACCAATCAATGTGTCAATGTGTCTCTCTCGCATGGAAGTTTCTCCCCCCCCTTCCACTCTATCTAAAAAAAAAAAAAAAAATCAATGGAAAAATATCCTTCAGTGAGGATTAACAAAAACAAATAAAGAGAAAAAACACATAAGGCTGTTAAAATGTTGCAACATTACCTGGAAAAATATCAAAACATAATAATGCACACCCTTGGTGATGACAACTGGGAAAACCTGAATGAAAACTTCCAAGATGCTAACAGAGGACTCACTCTGTATGTGCTCCTGTTGTTTTTATCCTCCCGGTTCCCCGAATGTTTGCAATATATGATTTTATTACCTTTATGATTAAAGAAAGAAAGTCTCCCTGTCTCATGAGAACCTCTCCTCTGCCGAGGACACAGAGCGGCTGCGCAATGCACGCTGCCCTCTCTGGGCTCCTCTCCCACCCTCTGAAAAGGGCAAGGATTCTTATTTAAGTGCATTAGCTTCTAAATGCCACAGCTGCTCCACAGGGCACTTGAGGCAACCGCCTCTGCAGCGAGACTATCAGCTGCCTTCACGCTCCTCCCGGGAAGTCCCAGGCTGCTCCAAAGATTCAGGAAAGGGCTTTGCAGCTTCTCAGAGAGACATGGAGGGAAGCAGCACAAATTCTACGTCAGCCAGTTGGTGCCCTGGAGACCTCAGCTCGGCCTCTGTTGGCTCTGTCCTCGGGGTTCATATAAATTCCTTAATTGACCCTAACGTTTTGATGAGCAGAAGTAAAAAGGCAAAAGAACTGGTTAGCTTCCAGGGCATGTACTTGGTGGAACAGTAGGCGACCTCACAAAACAACAATTATGAATGCTAAATATGGTAATGTGGCCAAGGGCCTCAGATGAGAAGAAAAAAGGTTATTCGAGCATACGTTCCCATGACAACGACAGGGTGAAACAGTTTGTGCAGACTGACCAGCGACAGTTGATGTTTACCAGGCTCTGTGCTGTGTGCTCAACATGCGTTCAAGGTTCACAATAACACTTATTAGAAACCTTATTATTCTCATTTTGGAGAGAAGGCGATCGAAGCACCAGGAATTCTCACCGAATCCTCCCTATGGCTATGATTTAGAACATTCTGGTAACTCTCCTAAAACCACATAGCAGGGGAAAGAGGGAGGGGCACGGGCTGGGATTTGGACACAGGCAGCATCTTTCTCTATGCTCACACCTTCGACTCCTATACTAACAGTATGTCAGAAATGTAAAATGCAAGTGGAATTTGTTTTAGAAAAGGACTTCTTTTCCTTCCCTGTATTGTCTAAACTTTCTAGTGTTCTTCTGTTTTTATTTAAAGACCAACAAAAACAAAAACAAAACAAAATGAAGAGCAACAGAGGAGAGGGTTTTTTTTTAACACATGTGTTTGTGTGTATGGTTTTTTAAATTATGTTTTGATCAAAAGACTAAATAAACGTCCATCAAGTCTCCACTTGGGGGCTAAGGGTAGGAAATGAGGAAAACAGGATGGACAGCAGCCAGGATGAGCCTGGTCCAAACCAAACCGCAGAGCGCCAGGCGGCTGCCCGCACACTTTCCCATCAGCTGTCCATCACCCCTCCCCGTCTGCGCGTGGGCTGACCGACGGAGGGCCGGACCGTCACAGAGGACGCTGATGTCACACAGCTGCCACTCGGGTCTCAACTCCCAGCCCTGCATTCTTCCACAAACTTATCCTACGGAATGTCCCCCCGACGCAAGGACAATTTCCATTTCCTGGAGGTTCAAACACACACCACATCCTACACACGGTCGTATCGGTACAGTGTGAATAATGCTCAGAGCTGGACAAAGTATGGAGTTCACACATACGACATCATTTGACACCCAAATGACACAGGTTACGTTTCTAGCAACGTTGAAGCCACATTAGAAACACAGAAGGCTGAGGGACTGTACTTAAAAAAAAAAAAAAAAAAAATGCAAAATAAAAATGCATTATGTACAGTGCCCTATTCAGAAAAAAAGCATATGTAACAAACAAAATAAAAACACATACTGCAAGTCCCACCCCCACCCCTAAAGAAAAACAGCTCTGCAGGGCAGGGGCAGGCGGCAGGAACAGTGCACCTCGTAACAGGCTGCAGAAGGAGGCGGATGGGGAGGGTCAGACCCGAGGCCCTGGCGATGCCCATCTAAAGATGATGCCCAAGCCTTTTCGGCAGAGGAGAGGGCAAGTGGAAGCAAATGACTGTCTAGTCAGTGCCAACTCTGTGGTGGATACTTGGCTCAATGCCACACTTTTCTTAATCATCAAGAACACTCCACAATGTATAAGACGTGCCAGAGGGATCAGCCTGGGCCTTGGGGTCAGGCAGGCCGGGTTCAGATCCAGGTCTGCTGCTTGCTGGTTGGTGGATACTGAAGCTACGTAACCTCCAGGTCCCAGATTCCTTGTGCGTCAAGTGAAGGCCACGGAAGTCGCGCAAGACAGGGTTAGGAGCCTGGTGGAAGGGTCCTCTGCTCTCTCTGTGCCACTGGGTTTCGGCAGACCATGCTGCCCTGCGACAGAGCGACAGGCAGAGAGGGCAGGACTGCTGGACCGGAGCCCACGCCCACCGCGGGCAGCAAGCAGAGCGCGCGGGGTCTAACCAGAGGGGGCCTCCTCCTCTGCCCAGGACCCCCACCCCCGGGCGGGCACTCACGGCACTCCTTCTCGTCGCTCTTGTCGAAGCAGTCGGGCAGCCCGTCACACTGCCAGGCGCCCGGGATACACCGCCCGTTGCTGCACATGAAGTTGCCCGGAATGTTGCACTCGTTGGTGAAGTTGTTCCCAGGGAGCAGCTGGCCCTCTGTTGGAGAGAGGACAGGGCCATCAGACAGCGTGGCAAAGGCGGCAAGGCCCCGAGCCCCTCAACGGAAAGGGCCCGCCGGCATGGGCTGTACAGGTGAGACTCTGGGTCTCCGTTTCCTCATCTGTGAAATGGACTGATTCTCCCCTGCCCCACCCCTGGAGATTCTGAGAGGATTAAATGGAGAGAAATCAAGAAGTAGGGCAGGTATCCGACTTGTCTTCTTTCTCCATCAACAAGACTGGCTGTGAAATCCACACTTCCCTTTAGAAAACGGGAGCCCCAGCCCACAAAATCGAGCTGCCTGAGGTCACACGCGGAGGAGAAGCCCAACTGAAACGGACACAAGGCCTCTCATCCCAAGGGAGCCCCAAGGTCACCGAACTGCTTGCCAAGCATTCCTGGGGGTTCAGAACCAAGCCCCAAGTTTAGATGCAACCCCACTGAACAGAGTCCCAAATTGCCAGGCCCCCACCCAAAAGTGCTGACCTTTGGGCTAGAAAGCAAACAGGGTGTGGGAGGGGTGCTGAATTCATCCACCAGTGGACTCGGTGTAGAGGGCAGATTTTCAAGGGCATTTGTGCTAGGTCCTAAAGAGGCCGAGATGGAACCTGGGGCTGGAAAGGTACATGGGTATACGATGATTGTACTGCCATGGAGTAAGAGAGGTGTCCAGACCTGCCTGGGGGTAGACGGAGTAGAGGAGGGTCCGTGATCCCCTTGCACAAGCTTTGCCAAAGGGAAGCATCTCATCCCAGACCCATGACATCCTTTTCATGCCACTATTCTTGACTAGTGCTGTGCTTACCTGGAATGCCCTTTGACCCATGGGGTCCCCTAGCAAATCCCTAGGCACCGTCGGCACGTAACTCTTGTGCTGCTCTCCCCGAGAGCCCCTGACTTCTCTGAGCTCTGACCTTCTGCGTGACTGTGGTACTACCGAGCGCCACTGAACACATCCGACAGCTGAGCAGTGGACACCACCAACCGGAACGGACCCGCCGCAGGCGAGCAGGCACGTCGGCCGGTGCCACGGACACTACCGTCCTCCGCTGCCCCACGTGCTGAGTCAGTAACGGACACGCTCGTCTCCCTACTAAACGCGAGCTTTCAGAGTTCACTGAAGAATTCCAGAAGAGCAGCTACAGCGAGGGGCCGCATGCTGCCCGACCGCCGGCACCGGAACCGACACCCCGCAGGTGCCCTCCTCACTCTGCCACGCCTCCAGGCGGCCGACACCAAGTCCTGCATGCGCGTCTCCATGCCACAGCCACGGCGCCAGCCAGGCCACCCCGTCTCTGACAGGCCACTGCCAGCCTCCACCTCGGCCTCCCTGCCACCCTCATGTCCCTCTCTGTGGCCAGAGGGACCTTTCTAAAGAGCAAATCTAAAAAGCCACTGAACGGTTCCCCACTGTTCTGAAGATGAAGTCAGAGTTCTGGGCCTTAAAGAGAGGTTCGAGGAGAGGCAGCATCTGCAGCGGACACTGACGGACACAGAGAGGGGCCCAAGGCCCTCCGGCCTGGAGGACACGGAGAGCCCAACCCAGAGCACGGAGGGTATGGAACAGAAAACGAGGCACGAGCTGTGCTTGTTGGGAACTGCAAACATACTGTGCCACCAAGGCCTCTCTGCCACCAGCAAGCCAGGCCACTGATCACGGCCACCTGGCCACTGAGCCCCACTCACTGGGGGAGTCCCCTGGAGGCCGGACCCCGTGAAAGCCACCACCCACCCTGAGAAGCCGAGGAGCCTAGAAGGACGGCCCAGAGCTGGATCCAGCCCGACCCTGAACGCACAGCCCAGAAAAGCCAGCGCGTTCCAGCTGTTTCCCAACAACTGCTCGGAGCGCCACCAGCAAGCAGGGAATCCATCAGCGCTCCAGCACACGCGTCACCCTGTTTGCTAGAAATCACCTCCGCTTGCTTCTGTACTGCTGGCTCCCCGGAGGCAAGCACCCTGAAAAGTCACTGTGGATGGTGAAGTCCTGTTCTGATAAACAGATTTCCGGAGGCAGAAAACTGGCCAGATTAGATCCCAAAGTGCTTGGTCTGAGAATCCACAGGCTGGTGGCACACGGACTTGACAAATGAAAGGGACTTAAGCACCACATCTGTCACACACAGCTGGCCTTGCCTGCCACAGGGCTCGGGGTGCTGCAGGCAGACCAGGGAGCCCCAGGGCCTGGCGGCTGACAACAGAGAACAGCTTTGTGGGCTTCTGAGCAAGTCCATTATGCATGCAGGGCGCAGAGCCTTGCACTTTAGAGAAATGACAGCATCATCCAACTCGAAAGCATGAGGAGAAACCAAGACAAAGAGAGGTTAAATCCCACTGATCCTTGTCTTCAGGCATCTTCCCAAACCCACCCAGTGTGCCTCCCTCAACTGGTACCAGCCAATCCCAGTTGCCAGGAGTTCCCAACACAGGGCAACTTCGCCCCCCAGGGACAAAGGGCATATCTGGAGACATTTGGTTTGTGACATGTAGTGGGTCTGGCCAGGGAGGCTGCTGCCCATCGGTGATGCACAGGGCAGCCCCTCACAGCAGACACCCCGCCGAAGGGCCCGTGCGGCCGCGGCTGAGAAATCCTGGCTTAAACCAACCTCCCCTTCTCACTGCCCCAGCTCCTCTCCTCAAAGCAGAGGAGGTTCTACTGGCTGCTCATGGCTCCTTGGGGCCCTTACAATAAAGCTAGAACTCCCGCCATGGCTGATGAGGCGGGTGTGTTCCAGCCCTGCCTCCCTCCCTCTGCAACCTCACTTCTAACCGCTTCCTCGGACACAGACGCCCTTGCTGCAGTGAGGCCCCCACACGTGCTGTTCACTGGCCCCGGCTCTTCCACCCACCCTTCCCCGCGTTATGGTGTTAGGGGCTGGACTGTATCCTCCCCAAACCCCTGTGTGGAAGCCCTAACCCCAGCCCCTCAGAATGTGACTGAATTCAGAGATGGGGCCTTTCAAGAGGTGGTTGAGTTAAAATGAGGTCGCGAGGTTGGGCCCTCCTCCAGTCCGACTGGCGCCCTTACACAGGGAGACACGCCGGCGCTGACCATGCGAGACACCAGAGAAGGCCATCTGCAAGGTGAGGGGACAGGCCTCAAGAGAAAACAACTCTAGCCCAGGCCGGTTTGGCTCAGTGGTTAGAGCGTCGGCCCGCAGACTGGAGAGTCCTGGGTTCGGTTCCCACTAAGGGCACGTACCTCAGTTGCAGTTTGTCCCTGGCCCCGGCTGGGGTCGTGTGGGTGGCAACCAGTTGATGTGTCCCTTTCACGTTGATGTTTCTCTCTCTCTCTCTTCCTCCCTTTCTCCCTCCCGCTCTATCTGAAGATAAATGCAAAAATGTCCTCGGGTGAGGATACAAAAAAAAAAAAAAAGAGAGAAACCCACTCTGCCCACTTTGATCTCGGACTTCTTGCTTCCAGAACTGGGAGAAAACACATTTCTGCTGCGTAAGTCATCCACTCCGTGGTCCTTTGTTACGGCAGCCCCAGCAAACTAACACATTTGATAACGTCACTCAGTCTTCTGACCTCAGCTTTCGGTCACCCACTCTGAGACCCTGCGCTGACCATCGAAAGCTGGTCCCCGTTTCTCAGTCTGGTGTTGGAACCTGTTTCCCCAGCCTGTGCTGACTGGTGTGCCTGTACCATCTCCCCACTAGACGGCACACCCCGGGAGGCAGAGGGCCACGCTTCCTTCAGCTCTGTGTCCCTGACATCTGGTGCTCAGTGGGTCCACAGTGAATATTTGTGGTCTCTCTAAGAAAACCAAGCGTGCAGTTACTGGTTCCTTGGAACGTTCTGTCCACCTCCTGCCTCATCCCCAGAAGGTGGGGGGACCTGTGCACATACAGTTAAACATAAGGTGCGTGAATGTCTGCAAGTAAATTACCACCCTGTCTGCTTTAAAAGAGGCGAGAAATCTTTTCACCCCGACAGCAGGACTTTCTAGTGGCTGAAATATTTATCCCATCTCCGCGTCTGGGGACACATTTAGAATCCGAAAAGACAAGCATTAGCACAAAGTAGGATAGCTGGGGTGTCTCCTCCCCCTTTTCCTTTTTTTCATTAAGCTGAAAAATGAAAAAGAGTTGCCCTTGTTCACCGCAGCACATCACTTACTTAAAATAACTACACCATCTCTCCAGGAATGAAAAAAGGGGCCCCCCGTCCTCCTCCACCGGACAGAGGCAAACAGCCACTGCAGCAGCTTCTTCCGCAATGTCTGGCACCCACAAATTTATATTCGGTGAGGGGGCCGGAACTGGGGCGACTGCGGAAACTCAGGCAGCTGCTGCGCTCTGCCCAGAAGCTCCTGGAACGGGCAGTTCCCGACGTTGCCTTTTCCAGCCGAGAAATGGGAATCCCACGCCAGCAGCTGCCGTCCCCACTCCCTCTCTCCGCTCCTCGTCCGCCCCGCGGGGATATCCCTGGTCATGACGCAGTAGAAAACTGACATCTGCAAACTATCCACAGGCCCCGAGTTCAGATTTCTACCCAATCGCCTCTGTTTTTATCCTTTGCTTCCTGACAGTCCGGTCTGCGGGCCCCATGAACAAAGCAAGACACATCAACACAGGCACAGACACACACACGGCTCAGCATTCCATTTTGCCAATTTCAAAAAGGTCCTCCCTAAAACCTCCCCGGAGAATGAACACACCTCTTCCCAGGCCTGGTGCCAGCAAACGTAATGTCAGGAGGCCACTGAAAACAACCATCTGTGCTCCCTTTGACTCACTTCTTCACACATAACACATACGTTCCATGCACAGGCACATGCAAAGCACCGAGGGGCTGGTTTGCAACCATGTGTTTGCAAACAACCCTGGAAAATCCCCGAAGGTCCCTTCAACTTCAGACTGCTCCGCATGGTGGCATCAGTGTCAGACAGAATGAGAGACATCTGCCCCAAGCATGCCCCAGAGCCACTTGGTTCCCATCAAACAAAGCTACGGGGAGCGCCCTGGCTGCCACCAAGAAGGAAGTCATGCCGGAG